ATTTCACATTCTGTCTTAACCTCCTCTACTGCCAATCTTTCCAGCTATCGTGGCATATTCCTCTTCTCATAACAAGACCAGCGTACAATGTCTCTTTCTTAAAGTTGCATAAAATTTTCCACAGCTTGTTGGGGAAAGGAAGGGGGGGGGGGGGGTGAATGTGTTTTGTTTGTTTGTTGTTTTATTTGGGTCCTGCCTCAAAGTGTCTTTCTTCTGTCTTTTGGGGGGGGGGGGGGGGGGGGGGGGGGGGGGGGGGGGGTTTAATACCCTAAAACAAAATCTGGCTTATTTAACTTGTTTCAACTAGTGTATGATTCTGTCCTGCCATGTTGCATGTTTCCCTGATTTCTACCCTGCCTTTAGAAGGGATGGCACAGTCAAGCAGAAGCCAGGTTCTCTTTGTCAGTTGTTTACCAGTTTTCTGTTATTTGAAGTAGAAGAGTTGCACCCTGTTCTGCAACTAGATGGTCTGCCTGTTGTTTGCACTAACTGTTTTGTGGCTAGTATCATGCTTATTGAATGTAGTGGGTACTGTGATTTGTGTGTGCCATTGCTTTGGATTTGCAACATTTTGGTTTGTTCATTATTAGTTTTTTTCCTGGAATGGTTGAGTTTTCCATGAGATATATTTGAGAACATACTATATATGATATACTATATATAATTTTAAAAATTTAGCTGTTTTTGTCATAGTTTATGTGAAATAAGATATTTTATACATGTTTTAAAATTTTGTTTTTAGTTACGAGTAGGGAAAATTTACTTTTATGCTGTCATTTTGTTTAAAATAACATGTTTTTACACAAAGGTCTTAGGCGAACTTGTTTGGTAATGCTGAATTGCTGGGTTTGATCCCAGCTGCAGGTTATTTGGCAGCAGACAACCTTGCACTAGTTTTGGCAGTGTGTCGAGACATGACTGTTCAGTAGCAGTGGCAAACTGCTGAACATAAAATTGCCTACTGAAGTCACAAACAGCTAAAAATTGCTGGGTTGCTTCTGCAACATCCTGCAAAGGACAGACAACTAATTTTTTTAAATACATACATAAACGTATGTACATACATACATACATACATACATACATACATACATACATACATACATACATACATACATACATACATACATACATACATACATACATACATACATACATACATACATACATACATGTAGTCAACATCGCGAGAGCCACTTTTACTTCCCATTACTTTACATGGTACCCACTTACGGTTGGGTCAGACTGAGAAGTGAAATATGTGTGTGCGCGCACTCATGCTTGCGTGCATGCACATGATTTTCTTACAGACATTCAGTGACAGTCACTGTTAATTTTCTTAAATGTTTTGCTAAACATATGTTGATCCTAATCTCTGTTATAATCCTGTATTTGATGTCACGATTGTGGTTTGGCGGTCATATTAAAAGTCAGGGGCACAATATGTTATCCCTACAACTAGTTTTGGTCATCCTTGCTGGATGCATATCTATCTTTCGGCCTCTAGTGTTCATCATGACTTTTCCCGGGGCCCCATTGTGGGGAAAACAAAAACAGACCCACTGCCAACCCGACAAGCATGTCATAGGAGTCGACTAACTGGAGACTTCCTTCGAAGTCAGAGTGCATCTGCCCGAGCGACAAAGAACAACCAGCGCACAAGCCAGTAAAACGGATGTACATGCAAAACTCAGGCCCTGGTACAAAAGCCAGACTTTAAATGGACCAACAACCGGGACTTTACGCCTGAGCTTACAGCTAGGGAACAGAGAATAAGAAGAAGCAAGACATCATGACTTTCAGTGTTCTCCCAGTTTGCACTTCCTCATGTCTTTTCTCTGCGACTGCATGAGTTAGTCAACAGGGGCTGGACTTCACAATTTGGAATTTTATATTGTCTAAGGGTCCTTATCCCTCATTTTTGGTGTTGTAGGGGGTGTATTGAAACATTACTTTTCTCAGTTATGTGTTAACATTTAAAACAATTATAGCAGTTTTAAGGACCATTGAATTTAAAGAATTTCTGTTTGTAAATTAGTTTCTGTTTGAATAGACAACAATTCTAGTTTCAAATGCATCAAACTTATTGTTAATTTTTTTTAATGTGACCTGCATGTGCTTTATTAAAATTATCACATTAGAATTAGATTTTGAGTTGCTTTTTGTCTCATATCAGCATTATATTTTGTTGTTGATTTGATGTTAATTTGTATATGTCTAATTTGAATGATTGCCAGTTGCTTGTATCACAAATATACCTGGTGTGTACTTGCTTGATCTTGGAACTTGCAGCAGCAGATGAGTTAGATTTACTAGTCAGCGGTGTGTCATATATTTTGTATGTTTTCTTTAAATGTTCAATAATTTATAGATGTCCTTTTAATGTTTTGTATTCCCTCATAGGTTCCAGAGCTCCCACTGGAGGGGGGGGGGGGGGGGGGGGGAGGAGGATAGACCTACTAATTAGGGATGTTTTCTTTGAAGTCGTAGTGTATCTGTCTGATGGAAAGGCGAGAAACCAACGGTCTGCATAAAAAAAGCCAGATGTAAAATGGTCATGCATGCAAACACAAGTTCAAAGTCTAGAAGTGGACAAACAACCAGAACTGTCATTCCGAATTTGTAGCTGGTGAATACAAAGAAGAAAAAGATTTTGATTTGATTCAAGAACCGACATCACAGCACTCGGGGCATTCCCATAAGCACTCCGTCCCCATCTTCAGCAGCCAGCGAAGAGTTCCGATACTAATGGTGATCCATCTGCTCCTCCGAATTGTGGAGAAAAAGATTATTAAGTAAATCCTTCCTCTGAAAAGTTAAAGTTAGTTGGGTATACTTTACAGGATGATGCAGAACCAACCCCAGCATTTTTTGTGGCTGTTGTAGTTTTTTTGTCCAGTATGTTTGCCATTGCTTTTTGGACGGTCAGCTTTTCCATACCACTGTCGTAACCAATACAAGGCGCAAAACCTGCAACTGGTATCGAACCTGGCACCCTTGCATTACAAAACTTATTCGCAACGTCTAAGCCACAGACGCCAAAAGCAAGAATTTAATTAATTCCTGTAGAATGAATGGGTAATTAGAAATGCAGCCACTATTACAGATATTATCTGGATAATTTATTATTGTTACTGTCTCATAATCTCCCAGTTACTCAGTCTCCATCATCATTTTGTTGTTTGGTTCAGGCACGAGGGGGCTTCAGATCAAAAGCTTAAAAGTGTTATATAAATTACAGTATCCTTGGCATTGTCTTGCAGCTTGTGAGTATTGTTGTTAAGGATGTCAAGAGTGGTAAGCACATGACATCATCCTGCAGACAAATACAGTGATGTCATAATGACAGTTTGAAGATGGCCACCCCACTTTTGACATGCATGAAAGAGGAGCAAAGTTCTGTTGTCCATTGTTTTCATCAGTGAAAGGGTAAAACCTGTAGAAATTTATTATTGAATGAAGGTGCAGTAAAGTGGTGCATGCTTTTTGTTTTTGTTTTCAGGCTCATCAAGTGTATGAGGGGAGTCGGAAGTTTCAGAATAGTGTGACTGTAGTGACAGACTGTTCATGCTTGTGTGTGTCAGGCACACCGAGTACTGACCCTTGAACCTTTTTGAAACTTCCTACTCCTCACACACTTGTGGACTTCCAAATTGGTGGAAAAAAAAAATATTCTCCACACTGCCTGCTAACAAGCATATCATAAAAGACAAATAATTCGGATGAAATCTGATGTCTTGGGTCAAAAGGTGCAAATACCACACAGCCTTGCAGTTCAGCTAATCCTAACAGCCCAACAGCCCTTTTAAGGTTGACTGTAGAAGACGATAAAGATTGCTTGAAACATTAACTTGTTGTCAGTGTTTCTTTCTTTTCACTGAGTTTAATAGTTGCTATTTTGCATTCAGTCAATCATTCATACAAGGTCTGACAATTAAGTAATGAGACTAATTCCATAAAAATTTAAAAAATCAACAGTTGAAGATATAATCTGTATTTTACTCAAAGTAAGCCCCTTGTGCATTGATACAGCAAGTGGCACTATCTAACAAACACTGGAATGACCTCTGTAGTGCTTCTGTTGTTATGGCCACTAAAGTCGATGTTACGCTCTTTGGATGTCATCAAGATTGTTAAAAAAGCATCCTTTCAATCGTAACTTTTATTTTCAGAATAGAAAATAATCACAGGGAGACGAATTGGGGAATAGGGTGGAAGGCTGAGAACACATACTTGTTTTAGGGCCAGAAATTCTTGTTTTGATGTCGTCTCTTGGGTACTCAACCCACTGATGTTTTTTAGTCATCAGACAACGAATGTGGTACAAACCGGCAAGCAACTTTTTTCTTGCCAAATTCTTTCACTAAAATGTTATTAATGGTCTCTCTATTAACTTAAGATTTATCTGCCATCGTCCTCACAGTAAAACAATAATCTTCTTGTCTCCGTTCTCTGACTTTTGCAATGAGTTCATCATTACGAACAAAAATTTGGTGTCCAGGTCTAGGTGCATTAGAAATCATTTCCACACCACTTTTGAATCGTGAATACCAGCTGAAAATTTATGCATGAGATAAACAATAATCCCCATAAACTTGTTGCATCAATTCAACTGTTTCAATGGCACTTTTTCTGAGTTTTAAAAATAATTTAATGTTAGCTTTTTGCTCCGTGCTGATTACGTAATAATACATATCTGACTAGGTCAACAAAATGGCGGCTTGTTTGTTGTCTGTTTGTTGAGCGGCGATAAAAAGTTTGCCAGATTATAGATGAATATTGCCTCTTTAGATACCATGCTTTGCTTCACAGATGACATTTTTGTCTTGGCCATAATTAACTCAGTCTCATTACTTGATTGTCGGACCTTGTATTTGATGGTCAGTCTTACTCCCATTGCCAGATTTTCGACAGTACTTCAGAAGTTTTGGATTGTTAAAAACATTTTGCAACATTTCCTTCGTGGTGACTACATAGGCCCTACATTATCTCATTTTCAGAAACCAGGTCTTCTAAACAGCCAGAGCTTCCACCAAACCTTGCAGAGCATCTCAAGAAAACCGGATCCAAACGTAAAGACGTCAGTTGGGACAAATTTAAGGACATTCCAAGTGTCAACGGGCACTTCCTGGTGATGGCCTTGTACGGAATCAGCTGCAGGTTCGCTGCCTCCAGCAACCTGGCCATCTTTGCCTTGTCCCTTCTCATGGTTATACATGTGGTGTGGTTCGCTACCAATTCTCGATGAGAGAAGGTTTTTGTCATTTGATTCATAAAACTATCCTTCATACATCATTTTGTAAACAAGACAAAAAGGGACGAGAAACTATTTGCATTATTTATATTTATTTACTGAAAGACGGTCACTGTACATTTACTAATAGAGTTCTGTAATAATTGCTTTACAATACTGTGCTTAACAGATCATTTTGTGAACATAATGGATAGAGAAAGTGTGATTGTTTACTGAAAGATTGCTTTACAATACTGTGCTTAACAGATCATTTTGTGAACATAATGGATAGAGAAAGTGTCATTGTTTACTGAAAGATTGCTTTAGAATACTGTGCTTAACAGATCATTTTGTGAACATAATGGATAGAGAAAGTGTGATTGTTTACTGAAAGATTGCTTTACAATACTGTGCTTAACAGATCATTTTGTGAACATAATGGATAGAGAAAGTGTGATTGTTTACTGAAAGATTGCTTTACAATACTGTGCTTAACAGATCATTTTGTGAACATAATGGATAGAGAAAGTGTGATTGTTTACTGAAAGATTGCTTTACAATACTGTGCTTAACAGATCATTTTTGTGAACATAATGGATAGAGAAAGTGTGATTGTTTACTGAAAGATTGCTTTACAATACTGTGCTTAACAGATCATTTTGTGAACATAATGGATAGAGAAAGTGTGATTGTTTACTGAAAGATTGCTTTACAATACTGTGCTTAACAGATCATTTTGTGAACATAATGGATAGAGAAAGTGTCATTGTTTACTGAAAGATTGCTTTACAATACTGTGCTTAACAGATCATTTTGTGAACATAATGGATAGAGAAAGTGTGATTGTTTACTGAAAGATTGCACCAGTTTGTTTATTACTGCAAGATATTATTAGTAGCTAATTCACCATGATGGGTGGCTCTCTGTTATTTGCTTCTTAATTTTGTCAACAGTAGAAAGGGACGGTGAAAGTGTGCATGCAGATTGTTATCTGACAGCAGACAAACGCCAGATTCTATTAAACTGTGTGAATTGATAGTTAATTAATTGCTGTTCACATGATTTTCTCATTTTGTGTATGTAGTTTTTGAAATGTTTTTGTTTCAATTTTTGTGTGCTTCAAATCTGAAACAATATTTCTTTGTTTAACACAACAGCAAAATGTTGATGCTGTCTGAAGACTGTTTTACTGTAGTCTTTTGGCGAGCTTGTTTTCATTTTGTCATAGTTTTCCTGTTTCACTTCTGGGACCTCATTCGGGGAAGAGGGGGGGGGGGGGGGGGGGGGGGGCCTCAGCCAGCCCCTCCTTCGAGATGGTAGTATGTATCCACAACGCTTGGCAAGGCACTTGATAATGATAAAAAAATTATAAAAATATAATTCTTCTTCAAATCTTTGAGTGGTTATCTCCTGACTATTCTGTACACTAATGTATCTAGTTCTAGTTAGCTGTGTGTCCTTTACAGGACGCTGCAGAACCAACACCAGCATTTTCTGGCTGGTTGTGATTTCACCTGGCATTTTTACATCCAGTAGTTTGTCACTGCTTTCTGGTTCTCTGTATCATTGTCAAAAATAATGCAAGGCAGTCTGCTTCCATATCACCTGCAGCTGGTATTGAACCTGGCACCAGGGAATTATGAAGCAAGTACGCACAACAGACTCCAACAGTTCATAGCGCACTGTATTTAAAAAAAATTTGATTCTTGTTTGTATTGTTTGACTGTTTTAATAGTTTCATTAGTTTGTCCATGTATATTTTTTCTTTTAAAAACATTCAATATTAGATTCAGTGCAATGTTGACCACATCATCACCCACTGTGTATCAATTGGTCCACAAAAAATGGTACCATCATGTGCCCGATGTGCCACTGCTGTTGAAACAAAAATCGCTTTCTTCTCTTCCCCCAGTGAAGCATATGCCCTCAACTAACTCACACCAAGTCATTCTGCCCTTCGCTATTGCATGCAGCTCAACCGTAACTCCTCCCCATTCTTTTAACTTCACTCTCTAGCTCCTGTAATGCTTTGTAAATAAATTACTGATGCTAAAAGTCATTGTAACATTTGCCTGGTTTAAAATAGGCATTGTTACTTTAAATAGCCGGATGGATGTTGGTGTATTCAGCCTAACCTGATATTTATCATTCTGAATATACATGTCATCTGTGGACTAACATATCATCACAAAAAAGCAATTATATGGTTCCTTGGTTTGTTCATTTTTGAAATTATTTAAATATAATATGTATATATAAATTTATGTATAGAAAGTCAGACATGTTATAAAATCACAAAAAGGAAAATGGCAGTATTGCTAAAGTGTCCTGTCTGTTAGCATATTCTTGTTAATGTTTGAAGGTGTATGTGCACATAATTACCCTTACACGCCCAGAACAGCAGGGTTGTGTAATAATGTAGCCCTTAAGGATGCCTTAATTATAACTTAGGGCTGTGTTAGCGCAATCAATAGAAGGCTCGCTTTCAAATCCAGCTGGCTGCAGCCCACGGCCTGTGTTGGAAACCGGGCGGTTCACCCAGCCTCTAGGACTCTAGGCAATAGGTACCAGAGTTAACACTCTAGGGTAAATTGAGGAACGTCGCTTGTAGCTACAGAGTTGCGTGCAAACGGCGACACAGGCGGACAGTTTCTTATGAACTGTCCTTGCTGGTGGTAGGGCATTTATGGTTTATAACCGTGTGCAATAATGCTGGTTCACATCTCCCGACTTTACCTTTTTTAAATTATAACTGCTTAAGAAGTTGAGCAGAATATCTGGGTTTTGCTGATACAGTTGTTAATTTTAGTGTTGGAATGACCCAGAATCTCCTGGGAATAAAGAGTTCCAAGGATTTTTTAAATAATATGAGGGACTGTAATTATAATTCCTTTAGAGTGACCTGAAATTCCCTGGCAATAGAGTTCCGGTTTTATTTTAATATAAATTTAGGGTTTGTAATTATAATTCCTTCAGAATGACCTGAAATTCCCTGGCAATAGAGTTCCGGTTTTATTTTAATATAAATTTAGGGTTTGTTATTATTGATCCTTCAGAATGACCTGATATTCCAGGGACATGGGGTTTAAAAAAATAGAATTCAGGAGCGCCACTGTTAAACCTTTTACTTGTCTTTATACTGATATCATTCATTATTTATTGTGTCAGAATTAAATAATCATAAAATGAACTGAAATGTGAAACAGATTGATAGAGGAAGTCAGAGCATGCAAGAGGAACTCTGGGCCATTTTTAATAAGAGAGGCCAGTGGGCATCGTACCAGACTTCATGCATAATGTAGAGAAAAAAAACTGCACAGTATAGAATAGAATGGAGGGGTCATTAGTGAGTCCTCTGTTTGGTATAATGGCACAGCATGGTGATGATTGTGTCAGAATTCGAGGACACAAACATAGCAGTAAACTACGGAAAGAATCAATATTAAAATTATGAATAAGAAAAAGACTTAGTGTACTTGCTACAACTGTATATAATGTTTATGCCAGGCATCAGTGGTTCCCAACCTTCCTAATGCAGCAACCCTTTAAAACAGTTCCTCATGCTGTGGCGACCCCTCCCCCCAAACATACAATTACACTACATATTGAAAGCATTAACTAAGTACAGTAATTTTGTCTCTTGTGCATTATTATTGCACTGTCATATTGCTTTTTCTGTTAACTATTTTGCCCTTGGATTCAATATGGATATTATATAACTATGTTTAACATGACAGAATTGCTGTGAGCATTGTATATTATGACCATGAATATTCACAATTTTGTATTCTTGATGTGGTTTTTGTTTGTGTGGCTTTATTATTACTAACTTGACGGATGTTTTCACTGCAACAGTCATTCCCCTTGTGGGATGCAATTTTTCGTTATTTGGAAGCCCCAACCTGGCTGTTGAAAGGGGCCACAATATAACCTAACGGTTGAACGTGGTTTCCGGTACCTCTCAACAGGTAATCCTCATCCACATGTTGCCTCTTTGTGTCACCGGGTGTTTGTTGCTCTGTGTAATGTCCTGGTGGGGTTAAACTTACTCTCTTAGTTGGATGTTTCTACTTTTAGGAGCCAGGTCAATGTAGTGGTTAGTGTACTCATTGACCATTACAGTAAGCCTGGGATTTACCTGCTAGTTGTGGCATTGCGAATGCACTTTGTAGTGCCGGGTTTGATCCCAGCTGCGGGCCTTGCGTTGGTTTCGACAGTGGTATCGAGAAACCGACCGCCCAGAAAGCAATGGCAAACTACTGGACGTAAACTTGCCTAGAGAAACCACAACAGGCAAATAAAATGCTGGAGTTGGTTCTGCAACGTCCTGTAAAGGATACGCAACTTTAATTAATAGTGGCAGAATGGAAATTTTATTGGTTGACCACTACTGTTTTGGCAGTATCTGACTCTTACAAAATGAGTGCTGGTCATTTTTTTCTTTCTTAGAGAACCATACAGACAACTGATCAGTCCCAGTTGATTGTGAGCTAATTCATATCTGCAACTGTCGTTGGCCTGTTCTATCCTCCTCTAGGTGGAGCAGCATAGATCCTCAACCAACTAGTGCCAAGCTATCTGCCCTGTGCCATCTTGTGCAAACTGACCCTTCTCCCCATCTTATCCATAATTATCTTCTCCCTGTTTTTTTTTTTTTAACTTGTTGAATTTGGAGCTTACTATTTGTAGTTTAGTGTTTTATGTAATTTCAGCTTGTGAATTTATTTTAATGTCTACTTCCTCGTGGACTAAATGCAATGCCCTTGTTGTTCACAGAGAATGAGGACGATGAGAATGTTGAAGACACAGAAAGTGTTGGCCCAAATGTGGACACAGACAGTATAAAAGAAGAGCTATGATGAATCCACATTATGTCTGAAATATAGATCGTCATTGGAAAACAAGTTTGGTGTTATATACGTGTTTAAAAAAAGATTGTATAGGTGACTGAAGATAATACCTTAAAAATAAATTGACTACTCCCCCCCCCCCCCCCATCTTCCAGTGGAGAATAG